TACTACTACTACTACTACTACTACTACTACTACTACTACTAATAATAATAATAATAATAATAATAATAATAATAATAATAATAATAATAATAATAATACTTGGATACCTGAAGGACCGCCTCCTTCCATATGAGCCTACCCGGCAGTTAAGATCTAGCCAGGGGGCCTTTTGAAATAGCCGTCCCTCAAGGAGGTAAGAGGGACGGCTTGCAGACAAAGGGCCTTTTCGGCAGCTGCCCCCAGACTATGGAATGCCCTCCCAACTGAGATTCGTCTGGCGCCGACACTGATGACATTTCGGCACCAGGTCAAAACCTTCCTGTTCCAGAAGGCTTTTAACTGAAATAATATTAGCTGTGGGTCTGATGGCAATTTTATATATATTTTAATTGTATTTTAATTGTACATATCTTTATTGTATTTTAAATGCTGTAAGCTGCCCAGAGACCTTTGGGTAGTGTGGGCGGCATATAAATTAAATAAAATAAATAAATAAATAAATCTACATACTAGGCTGAGCTGTGCTTGTTACACCAAAAAATCCATAAAGCAGGAACCCAAACTCATTAGCAAATATTCATATACTAGAAAGAAGATTGCTATTGAGTCATGAGGCTATCACTCTTCTAAATGTCATTGAATAATAATAAGGAAAAACAGTAGTATGCTAAGAACATGATGGCAAACTGTGTGCTAGATCAGCCCCAAGGCCCTGATTGGTCATTCTGTTCCAACAATGGCCAACCAGATGCCTCTTGAGACGCTCAGAAGCAGAACATAAGGGCTTGAAGGCCCTCCCATTCATGTTCCCTGGGAACCAGCACTCAAGAGGCAGTATGGATCTGCTTATGCTCTTAATCTGGACTTATCTTATGGGTCTGTATCTAGAAGGGCAGTTCTTATGTTCACAGTTCTCTGAAATGATGATGCCTGACTTTTCTGCGACAGCATTTCCCCCCCTGAGCTTAGCTGTTTGCACTGCATTCCTACTTCAGTCTCCCTAACTTAAAGACATGGCTTTATGCCATGAAACTGTCATTTTGTCTACATGCTCACTGACACCAGAAAAGCTATGTTTGCAATGAAATTGATCTCTGTGGGTTTAAAAAACCACAACAAAACCATTAGTTGTTGAGATGTTTCTTCCCCTTCCCTTTTTTAAAAATCTTGAATTAGAAGAATGTGAGAGCAGGTCAAAGGCCTATGTTGACTCTCTTCCTTCGCCAGAGGACACACAAGAATGAGATGAGGGTGGGAACACTCCCTTGCTGTTGTCTCCTACCCACAGCAATTGCTGTTGGGTGGCATAACAACCTCTGAACATGGAGATGGCCTAACATCCTTTCTCAATTTAAGGCCTTCCAGCTAGTTTGACTGCAATGTCCCTAATCCTCGGTCAGCATGGTGGCTGGGATGATGGGAGTTCTCCATGAAGCATCAGCACCACCCCAAGTTGGAGGTGGCCAATCAATGTTGTAAACATGATTAATAGTCACAGACAGACCTTCTCCCATATCTTTCTCTAATTTCTTCTAAAATCCTCCAGCACGATCATCATCACCTACCATCTCCAACAGCAGCTAGGAATGTGCACAGTGCAACTTTTCATATTTTATTTCTGGATATTTGTGGGCAGTGCCCCCCCCTCTCTCTTTCTTTTGTGCACCAATCCCTTTGTTTTACACAAAAGGAAAGTCTCAGGTTTCCTTTTCAGGGTTCTCCATATGTGTTTTCTAGGACTCCAAAAGTCCTAAAGAACCCTTAAAAGCTACCCCCTCCAAAAAAAGAGGTAAGGCAACAGAGAATCAGGCTACTGCAAAATCAGGCAGAAGTACATGAGGGGGGGAAATTCAAATAATTCTAACAAAATATACACATTTTGCATCCCTAATAGCATGCAGTTCTATAGGTTAACTAGTAATCGTGTGAAGAGATCCTTCCTTTTGTCTGTCCTAAATCTTCTGCCATTTAGAGTCATGAGGACTTTTTTTAAAAGGCCTGCCATCCGAAAGGTCGGCAGCCCTTCCCTTTCACTGGCCACCTAGAGTAGCTGCTGTTGATGCCAAGGAGGCCACAAATTGGAAAGCAGTAGTGACTTCATTCCTGTTCCTCCAGTCTGAAATTTCCTCCCAATGGTGATGGACTCCCCCTGCAGGAATACACAGCAATGTGCATAACAACAACATCAAGAGGCTTCAGATGGGTTCATATGAGGGCTTCTTACAGGATTTGCATTTTCCTTTCTTAGGATTCTACTTTAACAGGTCAAAATGGAGATTATAGGATCTTCTCTGCAATCACATCTCCAAGCACTAAATTACATGAGGTGAGTTTACATGTAATTACTGTGTCACCTTAGAGAGATCCAAAAGAGAAAATGTCAGTTTCACATACATTTCCCACCTAGAACCATACCAGTGGATAACACACCCAATGCAGTTATTAGGATAATAAAATGTCGGGTGGGGACTTCCGGAGGTCCAAGAAGCATTCAGCCCCTCTGAGGATTTGTTGCCAGCCACACTCTTGTCAAAAAGAGTGAACTGGAAGAGAGAGAAAAAATAGAAGTGGATGGACGTTGCCTTCCAGTTTTCAGGAAATGATTTTAATGAAGGCCTTCCTTTAGGACAACTGTTGCTTTTGAGGCTTCTAGACAGTACAATTATCTATGTTTAATAATTATGATTATTACATGCCACCAAGTCAATTCTTATCACTGTGGACAACTGTTGCTTCCTAGAGGCTTCTAGACAGTACAAATATCTATGTTTAATAATTATTATTATTACATGCCACCAAGTCAATTCTTATTTATTTATTTCCAGGTATAGAGTACTCAGTAGTGGTTTAGCATTTCCCTCCTTCTGGGGATGCTTTGGGACTGCATAGTTTGTCAAGGTTACACAGGCTGGCTTTTTTCCTAGGAGGCACAGTGAGCAAGTGAGTTCTAAACCACTAGCTCCACAGCCAGGTACCTAACTCATTGAGTTATTCAGCCAGGTTTGGAAAGGGAAAAAACTGTTATAGTAATGCTTTGTACCCATAGATTGCATGACACCCATCCTGTTGAACCTTAGTTCTTTCTTGCTGAAGAACTATTGACATTATCATATCTAGTCTCTCAAAAAACCAAAAGTATTCAAAAAAAAAAAACCACTTAGTGAATCAGAAAACAGGGAGCCTTCTAAGCTGTATTTATAACACTCGCAGATCATGTTTCTTAGAAAATGTGAGGCACTACAGAAATGTCAAGATAATAAAGAAGGTAGTAGATTTGTGTATAAAGAACAGAAAGATTAACAGAGAAAGATAATATCCTTGGCCTGTATTCAAAACCATATTCTCATGGGAGTAAGGAAACAGCAGTGGAACAGTAGCTGAAGCTTCACCTACTTTTCTTTATCCAAACACAATTTTTTTCTACTACCAAGGGGAGAAACTGCTACATAGTTTTAGAAGGCAGTTTTTATCTTTGCAGTGGGAGTTAACACGGCAAAAACAGCAAACAAAGACAGCCTGATCTTTGCACTTGTTTCCTCTTCAAATCGCAATGTATGTTAAGAAGGTGCTCAAGCACCTAATTATGGCATGGACTTGGGAGTAATCAGAAATATAATTCATACTTGGGTCTGGTTGCCGCTAATATAGAAGAGCGTTAGCTTTGTTTCCAGCCATATTTGGACTACCTTTCAACTTCCCCACATTTATGAACTTTGCTCATTAAGATTAGCAAAGACACTCTCTTTACCCCTATACATGCCAAAAATAAAACTACTCTTTCCGTGTATTATTAAGACAGTTACAGTCTCAATTAGGGTTACCAGTTCACAACTCTAAGAGTTTAAGAAAGAATGATACCAGTCGTGTGATGTAAGAGCCATTATCTGGAATCGTGTTTTGCAGTTTCCCCAGGTAAATGGTGATGACATTACCAGCTGGCGATGTTAATCTTTATTTTATACGAATTCAAAACTCCCTGTCCCTTCTCTTCAGATCTCAAGGCTCCCTGGAGATCCCTTTTGCCTTGAGGAAGCCATTGGGAGCTTCAGGATAGTGGAGCAGGGGAGCCCGCTTGATTTGTGACACACTCATCTGAACACACTGGATCATGCTGAGCATAGCTCAATTAGGGTAGTCCTCTATGGGCTTGATACATTTCATGGTGCTTGGTTAGGAGAGAAATGGCAAGAGTTGGGTGGGGCATGGGGGTGTGTGTGCGTGCATGCATGTATGTGTGTGCTTAGTCAATCTCTTGGCAGACCCAAATTTACAGCTCTGTGAGCTGCACCATCAGACATATAGCACCTGTTCCTTTTGTAAACATCCTGCTTCCCCCTTGCCACTTTTGCTAGCACTAGTCTTGCATGAGTTGGCAGGCAATGGGATGAAAGCTCCCTGATCATGTTAAAAATGTTGCCTAATCCACTTTGCTATAAAATGTTGGCCTATTTTCTGCACAACCTTTCATTTTGCTACAAAGGGGAAAGAAATCTGAAAACTTACTGTTTTACTGACTGTATATGAACTCCATAGTGGCATCAAAATGTCTTGGCTGTATCCACTCACATACTGATTCTGATAAAGGAGGCAATAGGTGCTCTGATTCTGTAGAACATGGGGTCTCCCATAAGGCAAGTTATAAGCTTCCGACTTCCCTTCTAGAAAATAAAAATGTAACCTCTGAGTTTCGCACTGATGTGATCCCTAGTGGGGAAGAGATGCAGTAACTGAATAAATTATGTAAACAAATTATCATTATGAGATTGGTGCCCATATTCAGAATTTCTGCTTTTCAACAGTACATTAGAAAGAGCAGGATTGTGACAGTGCAAAGACATCTCCACCTAATACTGTGCGATTTGAGTGCCCCGGCATATCCACGTGAAAATGTCTGCTTCTAGTTCCACTTCTACAGTCCTCCTCCTATTGTTATTATTATTTCACATTACATCTCACCCTTCTTCTCAAGTGCCAAGGTAATTCCATGGTACAGAAAAAAGACAATTTAAATCACGAATTACAAACATCTCAAATCACACATCCAAAGCCACAAATTACACATACCTAAGATTGCAAAATTCTAAAATCAGAAAATCACATCTTCTAAAATAGAGGATGTACAATCCAAATCAACAGAAGACAAGTTGAACACTAGCTTACTGTGCAAAAGTGTTTGCGAATACTTATGTTTTTAATTCTCTACTTGATTGACAAAGCATGTGGTCTTGTAACTAAATGCATCACTTGAAATTAAATGGTGGATTTTGTGCCTCTTTTTAAAAAAACTTTTAAACACGAGTTGCTGGGATTGCAGATGAAGATCATGACCATGGTGTGTGAGCAGAAAATGGTTTTATATTGCCTGACAAAATCCATGCCAAACTGCCTGAGAGGTAGGTCCTGCTTTTGCCCAAGTGACTCAGGCTGAAAGTTAAAGGGAAGGGAACATATACCTTGAAGTACTTCCTAGCATGTCTACTTTGGAACCATAGCAGATGGTTAAGAAACAGCAGATGGAACTGCTGTACTGTTCAAGGGCTGGCCCTATCATTGGGCAGACTGAAACAACCACCTCAGCGGGCCAATACTGAAGGGCAGCACAGTCCTCCAGCCACGCTTCCTCAGCCCCCACCCTCTTGATCATTTCTGTTTGCTGAAAAATAGAACTGCCACTCCCTTGAACTGGGGCCCCTTAATTAAACAAAAGATGGGGCAAATAATGCTCTCCTTTCACTAATGTTGAAACAATAACAAACTGCCAGTCCAGTTGGCTTCCATGTCAGGAAAATGCCTTGGGGCAGCCCCGTACTGTACAATTTCTATTTGAGATTTTCCATATCTTTTTGATGGACGATAGATCAGTGGGACCACAAAAAAGTTATGTGCCTTGCAGAGATAGGTTGAAGAATTGGGGAGGGGAGTTTGAGCACCCCAGATCCTATTATAATATTGAATAAGAACGTGTTGAAACTGCAACTTAAAAAAGAGAGATGGTTTTGTTTTCATTTCTTCACTGCACAGTGATGCTTTTGCCAATCCCAGTTCACAGCACAGGAATGCTTTTGGCAACCCCAGGCTTTGACTAAACTCCATTCTTCCTGATGACAAAGCTGTATTCAAACTATGATGTTCAAAGAACAGTACAGGGAGGAATGAATTGACAGGAAGAGAGAGGCCACTTTTATTACTTTCATTTGGTGTCATGTGTGACTCACTTGGGATTGCATGTAGCCATAATCTCTTCTTTGCCCATTTATTTTAATGGTTTCCACATAAACTGTTTTGAGTGCCGGTAGATGAAAGAAAATATGTGAATGCAAATCAAGGAGGAGGAACTAACCTAAGGCTGGTGCCTTATTTCTTGTACTTACTTGCTGCATCACTAAGGTTTAATCTTTGATTCACTGCTTCTAAATCTGCTATCTGTAAAAGAACAAAAAGGGGGCAGGCCAGTCATTGATAGCTTTAAATGAATAAAATAGAATAAAAATGAAATGCTTAACCTGTTAGACTTACTGAGGTACAAGCACAGCCTGAAGTATCTGGAGATGAAGAAGAAGCAAATTGGCATTCAAGTGGAAAGGATACCTCTTTTTCACGTGAAGGGTTGTAGAAAGGAACTTTTAGAAGGTGGTTCAGGCTACCGTGTGTCCCATTGTTTGGTGCTGGTTCAATCTTCAACAAATCTTGAGGGAGGAAAAATTATTACTTTTCACTGTGTGGTAAAGGTTATAGCATGTTATTTTGGTCCTGTCCATTCTGTTACTTTTGAAACATACAACCACCTTGTCGCAAGTAAGAACCAGCTACTTCCAAACATTTAAATTCTTACTAACTCCTGTGAAGTCTTAACTGGAAGCAAAGCACATCATGCTTGTAGAGGAGAGTCACTGGAAGCTTCTCTGACATTTTGGTGTCTCTAGGTGCCTGGGGGGAAAACTTTCCTGGGAGGCCTTTGCGGTTGTATAACTCGGATGTCCAAAACCCACACTTCACCAAACCCACAGGGCTTGTAGAGGCAGGGAAAGCCTCCCTACACTTTTGGTGTCTCTAGGTGCCTGGAGGGCATTTTATAGAGTTTTAAAGTCAAAAACAAATTGATAAATTATCAGAAAAAAATCATTTATTCGTAATTCATCAACCTTGATGACTTAGAAATTGAAACAAATTGCCATTTTTCTGATTCATGCCCATCTCTGATGTTACTAGTTGCCAGCTGGATAACGACATGCTAGCCTCTATTGAATGACAGTTTAAGTTGCATAGACGTCATGTTTATTCCACTGAAAAGGCCACAGATGAGACTTGAGCCCACCCCGCTTCTGCTCAAGTCTCATCTGTGACACTGGGACTAAATGCAATAGATATCATACTATTTATTGGTTGAATAATGTGTTGGCCCTTAACACTTGTCATTTCTCAGTATTTTGGAGCTTGAGCGAGCGTGGAAAGCCCTCCAAACATGTTAATCAAAAACAGGCTTGTTAATTGAACTTCAGAGTAAACATACTGTAACCATCCACTGTGAATTCCAGTGCGCAGTGAAATCCCATTTACTCTTCAAAACTAGAAGGTGCAACAAAGGATATATCCAGTTCTGTAAAATACATTAGCGCTAAATAGGATATCCTAATAAAAATGATAAAATGATTATGCTAAAAAGGTCTACTCAGCTGTCTCATAAATGTAGTACTTACTACTTGTTTTTGTTTTTCTTTTCACTACAGTTCCCAGACTCCCTGAGTCAGGATGAAGGATTCCGGAAGCATAGCCCAAAAAATGACTTTTCTAAACTCTCAATTCAACCTATCCTAGTAAGTTAACATAGGTAACGACATGCCATCGTCTGAAGGTCCACGACACAGTAAGCAGGTCTTGGTCTGGTCAGTATCTGGATTTATTTATTGATCTGGATGGGTGACTGGGTGGAAGTGAGGGTTGTGTGTCAGCTTCAACTAGCTTTTGAACCAAGTCGGCCCAGTTCAGTCTGATTTGTGTAAGGGCCAGATCAAAGCACAAGAGTCAGCTCCAGGCAAAGTGAAATGGTCTGAAGAAAGGAGAAACCAGATTGTGGGGCAGAAGAGATGATGACTGATGATTGGGAGGGAGAAACAGAAGAAATAAGTTTTAACTTACTGGCACCTCTGACAGGCCACCTGAGTCCAGAAATTCATCATCACTCACCCATCACAGTGCAAGCAGGGAGTGGCAGCACAAGTTCTCCCACTGCCCGAGGAGGGAAGGGAAGCAGCACCATGGGCTGTATACTGTCCTATGCAATACAGGAAGGGGAGGAGAAATGCGGAGGGAGGGCAACATTGTCTTTCTCTCTGTGGCTATCTATGGAGCATATCTATGGAGCACTCTGGGGCCAGTCATTATGTTCTTAAGTAGGATCAGAAGAACTGGGTAAAAGTATTATATTTCTCTGCCCAAAGCATTTTGCTTTTCCTGCTGCAAAATTTAGAAATATTTGATCCATAACAAACAATGTTTTGCATATGCACTCACCACACATTAAATTGTAAACTTCAATGTTTTCAAAAGGCTCCACCTCAGTTGCTTCCTTAAATCCTGGCCCATGTGCTACAAAGATGGCCTGCATGTGAATATGAAAATAAGATTACTAAATGGTTTCAGATGGTCTCAGTTCAACAAAGTTAAGCAAAAGCATATCAATTGTTACTGCCTTGAAACAGTAGGCTTATTGGGGAGGGGAATGCTGCACTATCACCTCCCTAATTTTAAATTCAGTTTCTTTTCCTCCTTACCTTTACTTTACTTTAATTAGATTTATACCCCGCCCCTCTAGACCAGGTCTACTCGGGGCGGCTTACATACATAAAACATAACAAATTACATCTTAAAAGCAGTGGACATTAACATTTTTGCAGTTATATAAAAGGCTTGCCAAGATGGAAAGATTAAAGGAAAGAAAAAGTGAAAATCAGTTTAACTGACTGGAGGGAAAGCCTGCCTGAAAAACCATGTTTTCAAATGGTTTTTAAAAACATCCAGCGAGGGTGCCAGATGAATTTCTGTCGGGAGCCTGTTCCAAAGCCGAGGGGCCACTGCTGAGAAGGCCCATTTTCTTGTTATTTCTTTCTTACCTCCATACTTTTAAATTCATTGTCATATCCATGGTTTCCACCACCACAAAATGTATAATTTCTATTCCTAAAAAAGCATTAAAAATAACATGTAATATTCAGTTTTTTTATAAAAAAAAGTTGTTCAGATTCATAGCATGAAAAATATACTTCAGTCTGCTGTGATCTGCAGTTTTCAGATAGGATTTCTGTGGGTGAAATTGTGCAATTGCTGTTCAAATGAGAAACAATTTGTAGGAGTCAGTCAGATACGGACAGATAGTCGTGGTTGCATAGTGTCCAAAAGAAAATATTGTCTTTGACAAGGTGTTAATTGACAAGGTTCTAATTATCAGTTTTCACCTTTTTAAAAATTTACCTTTCCTCAGCGGCCTAAGGATACTCTATTCCAGTGTTGACTTGAAAGTCTTTTTCATACAAGAAAGAAACACTGTTTGGAGACAAGGGGTGCTCACCAGGGAAACCTTGATTAGGAATCTTTCAGTCTCATGAGACTATGGTAACGTGCTCTGTATGGAGGACTTGGAACAGTGTCTAGTGTGGCTGAGAAGGCCAATTCAAGATTGACAATCCCTTTCCGTGTTGTTTCGACACTGTATGCGAAGCTGGAGTGTCATGAAGGTTGAGGGTTTAGAGAGAGTGGTGGTTGAGAGTGGATGAAGGAGGATGTTTGTTTAAGAGTTAACAACATTGCTTGAACTATCATCATCTGTAACAATAAACAATTTCTATTGAATTCTTTTAAAAATGACACACTGCTTGGACCTCTATTATTATTACTAAACAATGTTGAGGTAATCAATTGGTGGCAGCTGAAAGACACATAGCGTGAGCTCTTAGTTTGGTGAAGCAAGCAGGGGCCACATAGGAATCGTTGACAGCTGGCAAAAAAGCACAGACAGAAGGAAGAAGCCTCATGCAAGGGAAAAATTGTGCTAAGCAATCGCATGTGGGAAATGAAATGGAACATTTCCCCCATAAATGCTTGTCTAAATCACTGGTTCTTAACCTTGGGTATTTCCCCCATAAATGCTTGTCTAAATGACATAGTTATTAGCATTCTAATATCTGTCTGGATGAAATCCTGTTGGCTTAATAACGCCAACAGATGGATATCACCAGAAGGAGATGATTTTCAGAAATACCACACTTCAGTCTCGTGGCTCATGAGAAAACACCTTTAATTACTGAAAATGGCTATCTTTGGGATTACATTACCACCAGTTGTGATTTTTTTGTTGTTGTAATCATAGACTTCCTTCTTCTGTCCTATAGCTCCCACAGCTTCATGATGATGAAAAGGATTGCACAGGAAGTAGAAAATGTTTAATTTTTGAAAATGAACCCCTGCTGATGATATGATCAGGCTTCCCTAGGTGTAGCTGAACTAACAGAATTTCAGGCTCTATTTTTCTATTTCTATTACCCATGCCTTATTAAATATTTTAACTTTTGACACTCTTTTGCTTTAAGCACATGGTGCCGTAGGCCTACAGTTCCAACTGATAATGCCAGCTAGAGACAACACTTATGTAAATGTGATTTATTCAATAGCTCTACTCTAATTGGGATTACCAACTGGATTCTGGCTGTAGTATGTGACGGTTTTCATTGTTGCTTTGTTTTGTTTATATTTTAATTGCACTTTATATATTTAAAAGTGCCTTGAAAATTGTAGAAACTGAACAGCACAGTTACAACAAGCAGACAAATGCATGCAAACACATGTACATACATACACAGAGATAATCCTATGTAGAACAAGATGGCAACAGTTTTAAGTAAGTACATCTGAGGTTGTTGACATTTACAATTGCCTTAATGACCTTCTTATTTGTACACCAGAGAACTATGGTTGCCTTTTCTGCAGTTAACCTGTAAGTTGTAAATGAAAGATGCACTCCAAGACACATTCTGGGGGACCACGGAGGGCCTAGGGCTCCAGGGAATGGACACATGGACATTTAAGGATACATATCAGTCATTTATTATGACAAGAAATATCAGTGAAATAATGATGCATCCATAGGGCTATAAAGCATTTTTGCTCATAAGATTCTCTGAAAATGTTTAGTCTAAAGGGACCTTTAATTTCTTAAGAAATTCACATTTTACATGTTGCTTTTTCAAAGAGCTGTTTTTCCTTCCTTTTCCTGTCTTGAGCTAATATTTCCTAATATTTTGCCTAACAATGTGTTTGCCTGTAAATTTTAGCTTACTCGTCACTGTGATTTTTGGAATGCCCAAATGGAATAAAGATGACTGCCAAAGTAAAACAGTAATTTCTACTCATGGGAAATGTTTAACATTTATGTAACAATCTTGGAAGGTAGAATCCTTCAGTTACATTTTAATGAAGAAAGCTGAAGCACAAATCAAATCAAATGAAATTTAATTACTTCCACCTAGAACTTTAAAGTATTTTCTCATTTGTATTAATATTGTTGATATTTTGGAAATATTTCATTCTAAAGTTGAATAGCACTATTTTATTTCTTGATTTCCTAGAAATAAATATAAGATGTATATTATAAACAGATGTCAACAAATCTAAATGCAATTGTGCACATGAAGCAGTAGCAGGGTCTGACTTTGAAAGCCAAAAGGACCAGGGCCAGCCCAAAATATTATCCTGCTCAAAGCAAAAGACAAGATAGTCCTGTAGTGAACAGCCCCACCCTCACCTGTCGATATTATCCTGCCCAAGCAAAAGACAAGATAATCCTGTAGCAAACAGCCCCGCCCTCACCTGTTCATCACAGCTGAGCAGTGGAGAAGGAGCCAATGAGTGGACGGAAGGCGGTGCCAAGGGGGGAGGGGGCTGGATATAAAGGCTGGTGTATGGAGTATGAGGGGAGATTTTGTGAATGGGAGTGTGAAACTTAAAAGTGAACTAAGAGTGAGTTAGATATCTGTGAGAATGCTGAATGGAACAGAGAGTTAATAAGAGTTTTTAAGTTAAAGTAGAATTGATTCAAATACTAGTGATTAGCAATCTGTGATTCACCTACTGTATATTAATCAGATGTTAACTTCCCTGATCTAATAAATGAGTTAAGTTTTAAAAGTGCACATGTCTCCTTGAGTGAATGGTATTGAGGCAGCAATATCTGGTGGCAGAGAAGAAAGAAGAATGGCGAGAACCTCATGAAGGCCTGAGGGGATTGGCAAGAAACTCATGAAGACCTGAGGGGATAGGGGCTTCAGAGGGGATCGCCACAAGTCCCTTCCTTCATTCCTCACACAGAGGCTGATTGAACTGCCAGGTGAATCTTAAGATCCTTCACCTCAGTTTTTTCCCATTTGCCTTTCTGCTCTTGAATCCCCTTTAACTGAAATGCAAGCACTCTGAAGAAGAGCTGTTTCTAAAGCCAGCCCACCTACTTTCTGACAGTAGTTCAAAGTCACACAGCTGTTTCTAAAGCCCACCTTTCTAAAGCCTACTTTCTGACAGTAGTTCAAAGTCACAGCATTAAGGGAGAGCACCCTAGTATAGAGGAATGTACCAAGAAAAGTATTAGGAAGAGTATTAGCCCAAAATTCAACAATTAATCCCATCCTTATCAGCAATTTTACTTTAAAGACAAAATATGGATGTTGGGTTGCATTCCCTCCCTCTCCATAGACACATCTGCAGCTGTCCCAGCTCTTGGGAGGAGACAGTATGGAAGTTGATCTAAAACTGGAACATAAATCATACTGATCAATCACATTACCCTATGATCTCATCTATTTTCTGGAAATACTCAAAATTAAGGCATGTCAGTATCTCAAGTCTGAGGAAATTACAGAGTGACACAAGATAGCTCTACATAAGTGTCTAGACTAGCCCTGCACTGTACTTCAGTTTAACAGAATTTAGCAGAACTCTCAAGATACTTATTAGTATCAAACTGAATGCATTTCTGTGTACACTAGTTGATGGACTTAAGTCATTCAGGAAAATGGCATTCAATTGTTCAGTGTTCAATGTTATACTTTCCAGGGCAGTTTACAGAGATATTAAACCAAATGAATGAAAACAACTAGCATGTAGTACAAATGGTTCTTCAACTGTTGTCAAAAAGCAACTCCCATCATCTCCAGCCAGCATAGTTAATGGCAATATAGCTCATGACATTCATGCTTAAAAAGAAAAACATAAAACATGAAATTGGGAGGGGGGGAATAGTATGATGATAAAAAGAAAAAAAATGGAATAGCAAATATTTTATCTGAGGTTTTAAGAGGTCAGTTGAATAAGCAGGTCTTTACCTGATGCCAAACGGTCAGACAAGGAGGCACCAGGAAGGAATTCCTGCTGAAAAAAAAATTCTTAACTGGGCCACTTCTACTGAAAGGATGCTTTATCTGGTAGGCATCTGTTCAGTGGCCCAAACACATAACTCAGCAGATGATTTTTAGAAGGGGGTAGGTTGTAATGGAAGGAGAGGGCTCTTTAAATCTTGAATTTAATTTAGTCCCATTGAAGCAAGGCTATTTGGTGCCATTAAACATATGGATGCATGCACGGACCTCTGGGAAACCACTATCACTGGCAGATGAAGCTGGCACATTCTGATTGGCCAGCACGACCAGAGTAGGTGGGGCTCCAGGCCAGCGGACCTGGGAGGCAAAGTTTTCACCTCAGTCCACTGGCTAGGTATATAAAGGAGAGCTGAGGGTGGGGAAACTTCAGTTCAGACCTGTAGAATTCTGCTTCTTCTACCTATCTCTTTTATAGTATTTCAGTTATGGTTATAGGGTTGGCCTAAGTTGGCTCAATTGCTATTTTTAATGCTTGTCACAATTGTATTGAGGTTTGGGGACACTGAGGTGGATCCAGTGGTGTAGAACAGCAGGAGAGGGGCCAGCATGCTCTGGTTGGTAAGCCATCCCTTAATGGGAACCAGGGGTCAAGGACTGCCCAGCTTGGGAGGGGCAGAGGTAGAGGTCCTTTCACCACTATGGTAGGAAACAACAGAGTGGCCTATGTCTGTGCAGTCTCCAGAACGCTGCCATTCTGGTTTCACAGAAAGGATCTGTTGAGATGACAGTTTGCATCAGGGGGTATCTGGGCCTCCCAGTGGACTGGATCTAACCCAATGCTTGGCCAGAGTACATTCTGCTCTAATCAATAAAGTTGTGGCTTTTTGTTTTCTTCCATTCCAAGTGTGTTGTGTGGTGATTGGGGGAGGTGGGTTACTCAGCCCACAGGCTGCCAATGAGAAATATAGTCTAAGATGCAAATACGGTGCATACATATTTTTGTCTCGCTAGGCATTGTTTTGAAAAACTGTGCATTGTGCATAAACACTGTCAGATTCAAACAGTACAGACCACTAAAAACAAAAATGTAGAAAAAATGGGGAGACCATGGGTCGTATTCAGACCTATTAGTTATGTTAGAATAGACTCATTTAAATCAGTGGGGTAAGTAAGTCGTGACAAACTTATATCCTGTTTATTTTAATGTGTCTTCTAGTGACTAAGTCTGGACAAAAGCCCGCAAAGGGAAGGAACTTCACAAAGACAGAAATCAGAAATGGAGCTTTATTGCTTCTGCCCTCTCCCATCTCATGTGGAAATTATTAGAGGATGATCAGCGTCACCCTACTTAGTCTGTTCCACATAGAACTTGTCACAGATTAATTAGCTGTTTTGGAAGAAGAAGAAGGGGGTTGGGGAGATGACAGCACTCTGACCCTAGTCACCATCCACAAGAAGGACTGGTGGGAGAAAGGTACCTTCCTTGAGCCTACAAAAATATACCCCTTCTTTGGGGTGTTTCCCTTTCCCTTTTAATATGAAACTTAAAATCTTTATTTAAAAGATTCAGAGAATTTGAGAGTAGGAGATCCAGAGCGAATTAACGAATGAACACACATTGAAAGAAACCATCTAACATTTTGCTATACCCCCCATACCTGCTGGATCAGTATCTGCTGATTCACTTATTCACAGGCTGAAAATACTGTAGCATATTAAAAGAAAGAAACCCCCTCTTTTTTCCACATGTTTTACCAGAACAGGCTGCTAGAGAAAGACTGAGACCCTTCCATGAATTCTTTTTCTCTTCTGGATTTTTTTTTTCTTTTACCCCACAGTGGTTCACAAACTTTTTCAACTTCCTTTCTTCTCTGATCCTGGTGGCTCAGCCCCTTTATCCACTGTGGGAGGTAGATGGAGTGGTGTGGGGCTGGCCCAGGCCATCTCTCATGGGGTTGGTGGCCTCCAGCCCCACCCTGCCTTTTCCTCCCCAATCTTAGGCATGAGGCGCCCTTCCCTTGCACATGGCTCTTCCTCTTCCCGTGGTTCTGCTTCGAGGCCACTCACCTGGGTCTTCAGTCTCAGGTGGGTAGGTAGGATCCGTCACTTTAGGGCCACCTCCAGGCCCCAGCACCTCATGAGGAAGCAGTGCCAGAAGGGGTATCTCTCCACCCCTTCCTATGCCCAGCTCTGCTGGCTTGGCCCCTCTGCTTGCTGCCACTGTGGGAGGTATGGTTGGCCCAGGCCATTACTTGTGAGGCCAGCAACCATGGTGGGGAGCTGGCAGTGTTTATTATTATCCTCTGTTTTCAGAATCCATGGGGGGCTTGGAACTAATTCCCACATATATGGGGGGGTCCTAGTGTGCTTTAATTACACCCTCAAATCTGGACAACCTGCTCCTGATTATTTTTAGGGTCACTCAGACTACCTATAAATTCATGAACAGCACCATACCTCACAGCTAACCACTGCCGATCCACCATAAGATGAACTTTGTCAATACGGATGTTGTTAACATAATGCAATCGCTTCGGTAAGTCTCGAGTCAAGTATGGCTTGAAGTGCTGATCTGACTTTCGGCACTGAAGAGAACAAAATGAATTTGTGAGATTTACACAGCAGAGACTAAAACACAAATACTGTATGCTATTAGAGCCATTATGAAATTCCTGTAATCTCAGAAATTAAGTAATAGTCATAACACATGCATACTAAAATATAGTGGAGAGGAGCAAAGGCTTTCAGAAGACACATAGTGGTGAATTCTTAAATACGTAGCTCTTTTGCTTTCATAATCAGAATGTTCTGCAGGTTCTTTATCTCCACTGGCTGAATCTTTCTCCTTTTTCTCTATATATAATTGGTCTTAAGTTTAGACTAAAGATACTGTACACAATGTCTTAATGGTAGCTGGGGTACATTCTGTGGCCATGAAACTAGGTTTTGGGTCCATTCTCTAGGTCTAATGCTGGACTTGAAATTTTAGGGAATAAAATGCTGCCAATCTGGCATACTCATTCTTAATGATTTCAGCTCATGCTATTTAGATATGTTTAGAAGCACCTTTGCCTTGCTCCTTATCTTGTATACCCTAGAGCTGCTGGTGGTGGAGTTCACACAGTCACAACATTTTGCAAAAGGTTTGTATAACTTGCAGCAGCTAATTGCGGAGATGCTAGAGAACGTCTTGATCATATACTTGGTCATGCATCCAATTGCACAACCAACATGCACCCCACTACCTCATCAATTAGCCACAGTAAGTGACACAAAAGAAGAAGGGAAAGGTAAACCACTTCTGAGTACTCTCTACCTAGACAACTCTGAAAACGGTTGCCATAAGTCAGAATAGACTTGACAGCACACAATTACAATGGTTCCCAATGTGGTGTAGTAGATAGAGAGATGGACTAGAACTCTAGAGAACCAGGTTCAAATCCCCACTTGGCCATGGAGACTCACTGAGGGAGTGGAACTCCTTAAATATCTCATTTACTTTGAAAGCCCTATTAGGGCTATAAGTCAGTTCCAACTTGATGGCACAGAATACACACACAAAAACACACACACACACACACAGAGAGAGAGAAGTGGCACTTTAGGAACAATTACATAGCAATCCTAAGCTTCCTGCTGACATACCATTAATAAAGGAAAAGGGATAACAAATGCTACTCACTGTAAGGTTATGAACAATTCCTTCTGAATCAACTGTTTGGAAGAAAATTAAAATGAGTTAGATTCAAGATGTTGTTGTTGTTTAGTCGTTTAGTCGTTTAGTCGTGTCCGACTCTTTGTGACCCCATGGACCAGAGCATGGCAGGCCCTCCTGTCTTCCACTGCCTCCTGGAGTTGTTTTTTGATATTGTGACTTAAATCCAATTGCTTGTCTCAGCAGATTCAAGATACTGTGACTTAAATCCAATTGCTTGTCTCAGCTAAGGTAGGCCCAATGAATCAAGGGGATTTACACGTTTGTTTACTTACTGATTTAATGGTCCACTCTAGCTGGAGCTCAGAATTAGATTTAGGTTTGTATAATATATTCTATTCACTACTTTAAGTAACTATTTTCATCACCAATCTACATCAAGTGGGTTTCATCAACTCTGTAATGCCTATAGCCAAATTCAATTCAATTCTGAAGATGTATTAACCCACTCTTGGTTTTTTTAAAAATGTTTCTTATAAATCTCCTTAAAATACTAGGAAGGGCTCCATCTGATCTGGACTGGAACACAGGGATAAATATGTTATTAACCATTTCTCCCTATGCCACAGCCAAGGTTTAATTCCTCTGCTCCCCAAGGTGCTATCAGTGGCAGAGGAGGCAGGAAGCACACAGCTGTAACATGAGTCCCTGTATGTTTTCTTCTACTTTGAATCCAGCAACCAATGATAAGGGGTGCACTCAAACTATCTTCTGCACCATGGCCCTTACTATGTTGTTCCTATTTACATTTAAAGGGAACAGTAAAATACCACATAATCCACTGGTTAGATCACGGATTTAACATGTACTGATGGCTGTGTTGATGGAAAATGCATATATCAAATTTTGGAGGGTCCTCCCACCTCCCAAACCATTGTTCCTGCCATTTATCAGGACCCTATAATGGTTTACGCAGCATTACTTGTACTAGCAATACAAGTAATTGTTGTACTGTGAATTATTAATATGCTGCATTGTTCTTGCTAAGACATCCAACATGAAAATATTGTCTGCTTCCCTCTAGTGGCCAGTTTTGCAATATACACTATATACACTTACAAATATGAAGAAAAACCAAACAATACTTTCATGAGCATTTAGGTATGATAGAATAATGGCATAAAACCATGCAACATTACTGACAGAATGCTTCTAAAATAGCTTAAAATGTGTTCTAAAAGTAACTTTTTAACACATAAGTGTTCTTCGTTACATCTAAGTAACTTGTTATACCTAAAAAGTAAATTTGCAAGTATTAGTTCCATTCCTTGTAAGCAATAGTAAGTAGTTAGATGCTCTTTGTAACTAGTTCCTTACAAGTTCTGGAAGACCCCTTCCATTAGTCTGGTTGCTTGCATCTAAATCTCAATTTAATCTTGTATCTCTGAAGAAAGCACATTTGTTTCCATGGTAACATTTACAACGGACCCACAAGAACTTGGTGCACAGCCTGAAGAAGATAAACAATCATCAAAAGATCACTGTTTGTTTTTTGTTTATGTTTTATTTCTTTTGTAGTTCCTGCAATTTGCTCTAGTTTCTATAATCTACTATTGTTTTATCATCACCTGTAAAGGTGGAACTATTGCCCCAATCAAGCTCTCAGACAATTATGACTTTTGTGTCATATGTATTTTATTAGCCTATGACAGCAATGTAGCAGGCAGGTGATGGGCAGATCCTGGAATTCTTAGCTTTCATTTCTATAGCTGTGAGTGCATTTATACAACAGAGAACGACATATAGATCATGCTTCACTGTGAAATAACATCATCTTCTGGGTACACTCTGGCTCTGTGCTTCCTCCATTAAGTAGGAGCCTGAACTAACATGGCCTATAAGATCTTGTATGTCACCAGAAATTAAGGAATCTATGCTCCAAACTCACATGTATAGAAGTCCTTTGGAACATTTCTTGCTCTGATACGAGGTGCTGGTCCTTCATACATATAAAAATTAATTGTGTCAAAATAATCTGTCATATATTCCATCTGTTTGCAGAATGTCTTATCCATGCCTAATAATAGGAGGAAGAACACCAAACAAGTAAATAATACATTTGCAAAACCAACAACAAAACTCTTCTTCACTGAGATAAAGAATACAAAAATAATGATACCGTGATCAGCCAGAACTATGATGTTAACACAGTTGTGTAGGTTTCTTTGTTTCAGGCCTTCCATTAACATTCCTAGAGTCCGGTCCGCCAACTGTAAAGCCTTAATTGTCTGCACAGAAGAAGAAAAGGTATAGAAGGCATTTTTGCTTCATGCTGTATTCAAGAGCTCAACCAAATCTATCACACTTAGACAACAGAACAAAAAATTTGATAATTATACTTGTTCAACATTTTTAAAAGGAAATGGGCTATGATGGAGACTAAACTAGGCACCCCCAAACCACCATGAGAACTTGGAAATGTGGGTTCCCCCCCCCGGCACAGCTCTCAGACTCACCCTACCAGCATGGTCATTCTGGAATTTGGAATCCTAGAAGGAATTTTCCCATTTTTGTCTGATCTGACAAAAACTGGACATCACCAAGGTTCCATTCACTTCCAGAGTTGCCACCAAAATTCAGTGACCACTTCAGCGGCTCTCTAGCTGAAGGAAGGCGCCAAAGTGCCCTTCCACACCATAGAGATTTGCAGATTGGGAGGACAGACCTTTCCTAGGACGGAAGGAGGAAAGGTGCCTCCCCATTAGCATCAAATTCAACTAGTGCACTTCCACTGATGGTAACAGGAATTTATGGGGGCAACAAAACAGCTAGCGAGTAGACAGTATCATGGTGTGGTGTTACCACCAAAATCTGATGCAAGGCATACCTGTGGAATAGAAGGATGTCATAGAATCCTTCCAGACCATAGAGTGCCAGGAGACCATAAGACAGAACGTTTCACAGGGTTCAGTCATTAAACAAAGTAACTGAAAGAGAACAACTAGTGCAATTTAGCGTACTTCTTATGGTTTGCAAAACTGAGATGGGAAAAATATAAGATTTCCCTTGCATATAAATTATAGCATTTTAGCATTGGGAAGATTGGATTCCTTTTATTCTCCTTTCATTTCTGTGCTATCTTTTCTCCATTGCCTCACAAATGAAGTAAAGGAAAAACAATAAAATTATAATATTTTTAAAAATCTCTAGTGTTGTTTTAAAAAAATGATTTGAAAAGAGTTGAAGCACTTAAAATGTACACACAAAGACAAGAAAGTAGTAAAATGTACAGCATCCCACACTGAGATGTGAGATCTCAGCCATCTTCTTCCGCCACTGAAAGATTGCTTTGCCTGCTGGTGCAGGAACACCAAGGACCTGGCAGACTGGCCACCCAAGGGAGGCCATTCCACAACCTGGGAACAGCCACTGAAAAGGTCCTCTCCTGTGTCCTCTTGTGACTGCGAGGGCAGTGGGACCAAGAGAAGGCCCTTCTCCATAAGATGATTGGGGAGATATGAGCTGTATCCTCTTCCCTGTAACTGGGTGTCCTACAGTATGTGAAATGTGGCTAAACCATATGTGACTACATCACTGTTTGCATATGGACAATTACTGGCATGTGGTTGAAGATATTTAAAAAAATTTAAAAAAGGCATACTCCACCACTAAGTGGTCCAAACGTGTGCCCAGAGGTGTCAGGTTCCTCAATATACAAGGTATAGAAATCTGGCCTAGAGAAAAGAAAAGAACATTGTGAGTGATTGAAAGGGAAACTCCGGTGGCCTTCACTTTAAAAAAAAAACTTGCAAGAACTTGCATTATTGAGGTTCCATTTCTCAGCAACAACCAGAAGCATATTCCTGAAAGAAGGCAGGTGAGCAACAGAGTTCAGGTTTAGATACAAATGAGAATGGGAGGGGGGGAGTAGATAATATTTTTAGTAAGCAATGTGTAGGCTTGATCTGTATTTCACAACAGCAGGGCGTGCACTTTGAGTCCGATTTCATAAGATTTCTCAGCTGTTACCTCTCAGATTTGGGAAGATCCAGCCATGTCAACAGTTCTGATACCCTTGCTTCATATACAATTGATCTACAAAGGGGGAGGGAAAAGGCACTTATTTTAAAAATCTCCAAAAATAGAACAAGTGATATAGACAAAGGATCTTTGTCTTTAATAGGCAGACTAGTAGAACAAATTCACACCTCTAATAAGGAAAAATATGCAGATTCTTTTATGGACATTTGGTATCCATTCATCTCACAATGAGAAATAACATTTCATTGATTAAATCAATCATTTTATTACGGTCAGTGACCAATCCATATTTTTCTAGATACATAATGTCATTCTGCTCAGCTACAATTGCAATGTACAGTGTGATGAGACAGTCCAATTATCCTGGTCTTAATCAGTTTAGGATTGTGCTAAATAGAGTAATGTTGAGGTGTGGTGTGTCTTGCATCCACATGCACTGATCAACTACACCTTGTAGACCCTTTTCAACTTCATTCTTCTCTACGATTCTATCACACACACTTAAAACTGGACCAAAATGGAGCAATTCTACCTACATCAACGCCCTCCCCAAACCCTCCTCTTCGGCGCCAGCTGTCCAGAAAGATAATATAAACATCTACACTTCTGACATATTAATTTAAAGTTATGTTCCAGTAGTTATATTCACTGGTATTCAATAACTGGACTGACATAAGTTCATTTTAATAAAAATTCATTATTGACTTACTTGTTGAACATCTTATATATGTTAGGGAAAGATCCATTTATTTTTACATCAGACCCAGGCCAAAAGTAGGTACCAGCTTTCAAACCTTGATACATGGCTGTATGCCAAATCTGCAAAAAAAAGCAGGCACGGACTCAGTATTTCAAGGTATTAATTTCAATAGGACAAACCCATGCAAATCTTGCCATACCCTGCGGTCTTGACAGAGCACCACTCAACATACTAAAATCATAACTAAAAGGAGCAAAGCCCTGTTGCGTCACCTGACTATATTAACAGAAGATAAGAGAAGTTTTAGCATGTGCAAGGCTATATAGGTATTTCTCTATCCCAGCTTTATAACAAACCATAAAGGAGAGCCAGGGATCAACAGAGGGCAGGATCTAGTGAAGTGGGACTGTGGTGTGGATCCAACTGCATTAGATTGACGGGGCAGTGCAGACATTGGCACCAAAACTATCCATGGTCTCTGTGTGATCAACTAATCCAAAGAGTAGTGTAAAATAGGGTTGGAATCAAGCCACAGCAAGAATGAATCCTTCCAATTCAGCTGGCCAATGTAGTCGCAGCCTGTGGATGCTGAACTTTTTCTTTCTTTCTCTACCCTTAGCTTCCCAAGCTTTGCAACACATTACCTAATGCCGTGTTCCGAAAGATTCAAAACTTACTTTTCTTTCCTTGTCTTTTTAAATTTTGTTGGCCTAATAAAACGTATTGTGCAACTCATATTTTTTGAAACGAGAAAGTTGAAAAGTTATTTGTGACACTAATAAAGTGACTCCATTCCAACTCGTTGTGTTACTTTTGAAGTATATCTTTGTAAGGCCTGTGTTAAACAAATTATACTTACCTTGTTTTACAGTTGAGTAGGTTCCTTGTACAGAGTCAGTGTGGTAAAACAGATTTGAAACCTGGTTTCAAATCTCTACTCAGCCACAGAGAGTCAGTGTGGTAAAACAGATAGAATGTTGTTCTAAGGAAACCTGGTTTCAAATCTCTACTCAGCCATGGGAACTCACAGGGTATGTGTGACACAAATACATTTTGAATATCCCACATACCTTGAAAATTCTATTAGGCCTACAATAATTTGGAAGAAACACAAGGACACATATTAACCCAATGTTACTTCTAACTTGATTCTTTCAACTTCCGATAATATACTGGGCTCTACTATCCAATGTCACCATGTTTCCAATTTTCTCTCATCTCCTCAACTGTATTTAGTGGCTATATGTGCTTTATTATGAGCTACATTAGATGGGATAAGTGAAACCATTTTTGTTACACATGGACCTTTCTCACATCGAAAGCATTTAAAAAATGTTTATACTATTTTATGCTGTTAGCCGCCTAGAGTGGTCTTAACCGACCAGATAGGCGGGATATAAATAAAATAAAATAAAATAAAATAAAAGAAAGAAAGAAAGAAAGAAAGAAAGAAAGAAAGAAAGGAGAAAATCCAAATTCTACCTACAGGCTGTCCACTCCACCAGGCCGGATTTGACTTGGCACTCCCAGAAAGTGAAAAGAATTGGTTTAAATGGACATCATACATACTATTGTCAATGATGCCATGGGATTCTGCATACAAACCCTAGAGGGGAAAAGGACATAGATGAAGGCACAGTTAAGCAATTATCCTAAATTTAAAGCAAATGTGTACTCAATGACCTAGCTTGTAATGCTCAGTGCTATGTTGGCCTCTAGCATTATGCAGTTTAATTCTGCCCCAAATCTAACAGGTCAAACCTAAGTGTCTGCCTCACTCTTTTTTTTTTAAGGTTCTATTTTTATCATAATGTAATAATAGCAACTTGTCAATCTCTATGCAACCAACATAACACGATTAATACACAAGAAATATTAGCTGGCATGAAATATTTTAAAATATTGTAGAAGCATTATAAACAATATTCTAAAAATTCTAAGATGGGTCTCTGAAATACCCCAATGAGAACTGAGCATGCTGAATGGACACAGAATGCTTACTGATTGTTTGACCAAAGGCAGCAGGCAGTGTTTTGAAAAGTGGCAAGTCTGACTATTGGGAACCCTGAATAAGTGCATCCCACTATTGTAAAGTTTTACAATGGGTCCTACTGGTTCCAGACTTGTTTTCAGCTGGCTGGATTGTCCCCTGACTAATTAATGTCTTGATTCCCTGAGGTCCTCTTCACTATTAATTTCTAAAGAGAATTTAATCATGTGATCCTAAGAAAACGTACTCAGACATTCATTTGAGTTTGTCTGAGTTATTCCCTAAGAAGCCTACCCAAGGCTGAATGCATAAAATAGTTTTTTATAGGTTTAAAAAGAGACTGTGGAAAGCATCGCTACCCATACAACTCACATTTATTTTGTGTCTTCCATTCATGAACAATGACAGGGTTTTGCCTAAGTAGACTCCACTCCCTAAGACTGAGGGCAAGATGATTTCAGTGCTATTGGGATGAGTGGATGTTTACTTTGGATGTTTACACAATCCTAATTGTGAGGAGCATGATAGATGGAGTACTTTCATCTCAGAAACCTCAGTCTATCCCACACATTATACCTCTGGGAGCACAAGAGACAACAAGATACCTGTCGCCTGATATCCCTCCCCTCCATCTGGCATTTTGAGGTACCTTCCTTTTAAGATTGGAAATTATACATCACCATCATGGCTTGTAACCTGCAATGGACTTTTCCTCCAGGAATCAGTCCAATCCCCTTTTAAAGGCATCTAGGCCAGATGCCATCACCACATCCTGTGGCAAGGAGTTTCACAGACTAACAACACACTAGGTAAAGAAATATATTCTTTTGTCTGTTCTCACTCTCCCAACACTCAATTGTAGTGGATGTCCCCTGGTTCTGGTATTGTGTGAGAGGGAAAAGAGCTTCTCTCTATCCACTTTATCTGCATAATTCTATGCATCTCAATCATGTCCCCCCTCAGGTGTTTCTTCTCTACACTAAAGAGCCCCAAACACTGTAGCCCTTCCTCATAAGGGAGGTGCACCAGCCCAGTCATCATTTTAGTCACTCTCTTCTACACCTTTTCCAGTTCCACTAGATCTCCTTTAAGTTGCGGCAACCAGAACTGTACGCAATACTTCAGGTGCAGCCTTACCATCGTTCGTATAATGGCATTATAATGTTGACTGTTTTATTTTCAATTCCCTTTTTAATTATACCTAGCATGGAATTGGCCTTCTTCACTGCCACCACATTAACTGACTTTTATTCTCAGTCAGAACACAAAACCAAGAAAGGAAGACACATAGCTGAGAAAATCCATTTGATATGACTAACAGACATCTTTCACCACTTGGGGGAGCAATTACAAAAACTAGGGATAAATGTATCTTCTAGTTTGACCTTAAATTATGTAAAGATACTGGTCAGGGGCAGAAAGCATCGTTGATCCAGAAGATTTTCTCCTTCCCTGCTTGCAGCTACCCGTCTCTGTGATTCTTCTGACTCCTGTCTGGCACTAAAATTCGAGTCTGGGGAAACGGTCATTTTGGAAAACTCAATAATGTCTGGCAAGGGTCAATGCAGACCTCTCTCAAGGTCAGAGCATCATAAAAAATCTGAGGGGGAGAGACCCACACTCTTTCTTATGACCCCTAGATGTGCCCCTGGGAACATGGAATGGTAGCCTTAATATCTTCATGAGATGACCAAGGATTTTACATTTTGTTTCTTTATGACCTTAAAAAGAAACATCAGGTGAGGTTCTGGGCAGTGTCATGACCTAGTGAGCACACGTTCTGGAATGCTGACTTACTGGCACATCTTATTAAACTAGGTTTAGAGATACAGCTAAATTCCAGGAAGGCTCACATTTCCACTTCCTCCTATCATTCTGGCAATGGGTTAAACTATTTGCATTTCATGCGGTACTTTAGCATGAAGAATTTGGCAGACCAGCTAGTTCTGCTTTGCTGTTACTTTACTTTCTTGATAGATGGATATCGGATGGGACGACTCTTATTTTTGTATATTTTCAGTTGAGTTTCTTTTATAATGCAAAAAAATGGGGTATAAATATTTTTTTAAAAGGAAGAAAGTACCCAAGATTTCAAATAATAGCAACAGCAAAGATAGCAATTATACACAGAATGATCTAGACACAAGAAGAGTTACTTACCGTTACTATAGTATAGTGGTTTGTAAAGGTTTTGGTTGGATAGGCAGCTCTCATGTATTTTGAATATGTTCCACATTTTTCTGCAGTAGAATACATATTGATTATAAAACTACAACTAGGACTTTCAATAGTTTAAAAATGAAGTAGGGAGCAAGCGGGATCCGAAGGCCTTAGGAATGGACCTCAACAGATGGGAAACCCTGACATCTGAGCGTTCAGCCTGGAGGCAGGCACTGCATCATGGCCTCTCCCAATTTGAAGAGACCCTTGTCCAGCAGGCCAAGGCCAAGAAGCAGTCCTGAAACCAGCAAAATCAGGGAGCTGGACAGGGGACAGATTGGATTTGCCTTCAGTGTGGAAGGGATTGTCACTCTCGAATCAGCCTCCTCAGCCACACAGGGATTGTCACTCTCGAATCAGCCTCCTCAGCCTCCTCAGACACTGTTCTAAGTCCTCCACACAGAACACATTACCATAGTCTTTCGAGACTGAAGGATGCCTCACTAGGGAAATACATTTTTCAAATCTTCCCATACACCATTCTCCTATTAGCTAGCCTGGGGATACACCAGCATAAAAGCTAACAGAGAAACAGACAGACCAAATGTCACTGGGGAGAGTCCCAAATTGTACCATAAGCAGTTTCCGAAGGACAGCCACATGGGCCATGGGAAGGGAGACACAAGGTTGTGACACCCCTTCTAGAGCAAGATAGAGTGAGCTGAGCACACCCTCAAACAATCAGGCAAAACAAGTCAAGACTGCTGTGAATTTGATTCCCCTCATGAGTGACTAGTCAAAAACAGTCAAAATAATCAGGCACAAAAGAAAGATTAATTGTGTGATCACACAAAAGTGAATAGATTGCAGTCTGGACTGCTTGTGGAGTAGACCAGAGCAATGTTTTCCTGGCTATCACATGACGCATGAGGAAATGCAACCTAGCCTGACTGTGGTCCAGCTTAGGGCTTCTACTTATGGCAGCTGGGCTACAATGGTTCCCCAGCAGATGGAAAGGTCACCTCAGGAGCATCAAAGTTTTTTCTCTCCTCACTATTTTTTTTTTAAAAGAATACCCACTTATAATAGTGGTTTGTAGGTCATTCTGATGCTCCTGACGATCAATGATAGAAAAATAAGATTCACTCTGTAATGGGGTGGGCAAAGCATGGCCCGTGGACTCCATGTGGCCTCCCTGGGCTGTCTTCGCAGCTTCATGAAACCCCTCTGCAATGCCCACTAGATGCAGAAAGTGGACCCCAACAAAAAAGTTTCCCTAGTTCTGGAGACCTCCAGGAATGGCAGATTTTGACTGGGGTTGCAGTCTCTACACTTCCCCCCACCACCTCCTTCCCTTTTTAATCCTTCTAGAGGTGGTGATGCTGGGGTAAAAAGTATGGGTCACAGTGAAACCAAAGCTTTCTATCCCTACCCTAAAATCTCCTAAAAACTGGATCACTTACTGAGCTTTTCAAGATTCGGCAGCAAAGCACTCCATGTTTCCAAGTATTCTGCCCTGAAGCCATCCATTGAAAAAAGAATAAGTGGTGACCGATCAAACCTGCAAACAAACATTACACAGTTGTGGATTTGGAAATGGCATGGTTTGCAAAAATTAGACCAACGTTCATTATTTCTTTTTTTTAAAAAAATGCAACCTATCCTGGGTTGCAGAAGAACTAACTGCTGGATAGTTCAATGGCTTAGTTATCTGGCTGTGGATCCAGACATTGGGAGTTCAATTCCCTATTGTGCCTCCTTCACAGGGGCTGGACTCAGTGATCAATAGGGTCCCTTCCAGCTCTGCAGTTCTAAAATTGTTGTTGTTGTCCCCCTTAAAATCTAGGGTGTGCCTACACTATAAGTTGTAGCAATCTGATTCCCCTTTAACTACCATGAGTCTCTCCTACTTAATGTAGTTGGTGAGACCCTTACAAGTGCAAGGTCTAATGTACCTGTAGTTATCTGAACTACAACAGAGACCACCAAGCACCTCAGCAAACTACAGCTCCACATGTCCATAGGACAGAACCACAACAGCTGAAGTGGAATCAAACTGCTATAATTGTGTAGATACAAGCCTAGTTTTACCCTGAAAAACAGTAGCTTCAGAGAGGAGAGGAGAAATGGAAAGAGGGAGGAGATGTCTATATTATAAAATATAATATTCTTAGAACTGTAGGGCTGGAAGGGGTGCTATGGATCATCAAGTCCAGCCCCTGTCAGGGAGGCACAATCAAACTCCCAACAAAATCACTGAGCTATCCGGCAGTTCGTGGTCTACTACTATGTAAGGTCAGCTTGGAATGCAGCTTATGTTAAGAAGCATTCATCTGTGTCTCTATTGATGCAACGAAACAACAAAGATGTACTGTTTTGTTTTCTTATACGTACATGAAGTTAAACCAGTATCGAATAGTTTTTGATCTTACCCTGCTGGGCACTGAGCAGTGTCAATGGAGGCACATGTATCTTTCACCCAGGGAGTTTCTCCTGTAAAGGACACACAAAAATATATCTGCCATTAAAAGCAGACATTTACATGACCATATAGAACAGAGAAAGCTTTCTGCTGCAGACTGAAAATAGTCACCCAGGTGTTCTTAAAAATGTTTATTCAGCATGGGAATGTTCTAGCTCTGTCCCCACCATCATTATTTTGCTCTCACAAAACATCATAGGTCAGATATGGGAAGCATCTGGACCCAAGATGCATCAGAACCCCAATTTCCTGATGTTCTATCTAATGTGGAGATTCTCAATGGACAGGTCCACCACCGCTCTCAGTCCTTCCCCAGCCCAGCTACTCAAAGCAACCAGGGACATGACCGTGGAATATTATCAACTTCTCCTTGCAGGAAGGGGTTCTACCTTCCTACTTAAAGGGAACTAATATCAGGTCCATTATGAAAAACCCAAATCTAGCAACAACTTTAGGCCTGTTGCAAATATTCCATTCACTGGCAAATTGATCAAAAGGCCAGTGATGGACCAATTGCAGGTGTTCCTGGAAGAAACTGACTCTTTAGATCCACTCCAATCTGAGTTCAGGCCATGGTATGGCACTGAAATGGCACTGGTTGTGTTTCACAATGACCTGTTAAGAGTGGGTGACTGGGGCAATATGACCCTGTTGGTCCTCCTTGATATCTCAGCCTTCTTTGATACCATTGATGGTAGCCTCCTAGATACAATACTGGGGTTGTGGTTTGGTGGCCTTGCATTAAGCTGGCTCCAGTCCTTCCTTAATGGTTGGGGTTGAAACAGCCTCCCCAAGCTACACCATCTGAACTTCAGATGGTGCAACTTGGAAAGGCTGTTTTAACCCCATGGATTTTCAGCTGTGCATTCTGCAACAGTCAATCATCTCCCCAATGCTGTTTAATAGCTATATAAGGCCACTTTATATAGGCAGAGGTCATCAGAAGATTTGGAACCTTGTATCATCAATATGTGGATGGTGTGCAGCTCTATCTCTCCTTCAATCCATCTGCAGTGGATGCCACCCAGTGCCTAGAAAGCTGCTTGGCCAAGGTTTGTGGGCTGGATGAGGAAGAACAGGCTAAAGCTGAGTCCACACAAGATGAGATCATGTTGTTGGGGATTCATCTATCTTGCCTAAACATGGGGGATTTATCCTCCCTCTGAAAGATCATGTGTGCAACTTGGGCATGATTCTAGACCCAGCGCTGACCATGGAAAAACAGGTCTCTGGTGCAGAAGATTCTGCCTTTTTTCCAATTTTAGCAGATTGTCCAGGTCTGAAACAACATTGGACTAGTCAAAAATTAACTAATGTAATGCACTCTGTGTGGTGCTCCCCTCGAAGCTCTTTCAGAATCCTCAGGAGGTCCAGAATGTGGCAGTCAGATTGATTTCTGGGATGAGGAAGTTTGACCATATCACCCCCAACTCTGGTCTGCCTGCACTGGTTACCAGTCTGCTTCCATGCCATGTTGAAAGTTTTGGTACTAACACATAAAATCTAAACGGTTTGGGACCTTGTTACTTGTCTGCATATCTTCTATCATGTTTGGCTGCTCATCTGACCCAGTCCTCACAGACCACACACCTGCGAGTGTTGATACCTCAAGAAGCCCAGAAAATGTCAACTCGAAACTGAGCTTTCTCAGCAGTGGTACTGCCCTTATGGAAGGCTCTCCCGCAGGAGTTAAGGCAGGTGCCCCACCTTCATGCCTTTAAAAAGCTCTTCAAAACCAAGCACTTTTCATGGAAGCTTTGGGGGGGGCTCTACCCAGTTAATTGGGGCACTGTTATACAAAACTGTTATTTTTCTGCCTGCCTTTTGTTGTTGTGTATTTGTAAGATAGTTGAATGTTTTATAGTAATTCTATAATTTATGCTTCTTTTATGTGCGTGTGTATCATTCCCATCACACCAATTGTGGATGAAACTTGGCTGGTGCTTCTCCACACAGGCAACCACTCCACAGCTGGGCAGGGAGACTCATCATCCCATCTCCTTGTCAGAGTGGTGAGCTGCGTGGGGAGGCAGGGAACTGTTAGCCAGGCTACTTCCACAATTGGCATGATGGGAACGATGCCAGCCCTGCACGCTGCATGGTGACCATTAATTGGACGTGCCAGTTTGGGGGGAGGGACTGGACTTTCCAGGCACCTGTGATGCTAACATTTGTATTCATATCACAGGGATACAAATACGAATATCCCATCTCTACATAGCACATGTCTGACCTATTTTTAAATGCTCTAATTAGCTTGCTTTTATATCGTGATCAGTTATTGGGAAGTAAACCCAGGCCTCATTTGTAAGTCTGATTGCACAGGCATGGAGTTTTGAAGGGATCACTTGTCTGGATAAAAAAATGCTTAAAGAGGGAAATGTACATTTCCCTTAATATACGATTTGATCAGCAATCAATTTGAACATGTCAGAAGAAACACCATTTTTAGAAACAGAAAGTGACTATAGTTAGAAAGAGGGAGGAAGGTGACTTGCAGTTTTTTTAAAAGGACTTCTAAAGAACTTTCAGAGAACTTTGTTATATGTTAAAGTGGACATATGGAAACTTCTAAAGAAACACAATTTCCTATTTTGAAACCATTTTGGGGGGGGGTTCAAGTGGTTAGGGCTCCTGGGGGGCACACAAGCAGCCCTTAGAGCAGGGGTCTCAAACATGCGGCCCGGGGGCCATTTGTGGCCCCCCAGACAATAGTTTGCAGCCCCCACCTTGCCTGCTCCCCTGAAGTGCCCACACTTCTCTGCTGTCAAGAGTAAAAAAAGCCTCACCTCGCTCGCCAGCTCTCTCCCAAGAGAGTGCTTCTTGCACCCTCCATCTGGAACTACAGCCTGCCAGCCAGCCAGCCTGACTACCTGTCTGCCAGCTGGCAGGCTGCAATTCCAGATGGAAGGTGCAAAAGGCGCTGTCTTGGGGGAGAGCCGGCAAGCGAGACGTGCTGCCGGGCCTTTTCCCCGAGCGCCCGAGCTGCCGCCACGCAATACCAGTGGGGGCTCTTCTCCTTTGGCAAGGCAAATTCTGTGAGGGTTTTTTCAAATTTATGTTATGCCCTCCTCCCCCCCAGCTAGGTGGTCGCCCGCTCCTTCCCTTCTCCGCTTCTTCATCCTGCTGGTGGTGGTGGTAGTGAAGGAGCCGGAGGGGGTCGTGGCCAGCGACGAGGGCTCGCGTGCCCCTCCTCCTCCTCCTCAGAGCCCCAGCCGGGCCGAGGAAACTCCTGGGTGGCTTCCTCAGGCTGTTGCTCTGCTTAGCGGAAAATCTGATGCGGTCCATAGGGCCCCTGGGAGGCACACAAGCAGCCCTTAGAGGCTGCACACAGTCCATGGACTGCATTTTGCCCAAACAGTTCTTCAGTTTCAAATGTACTGGGTGATGCAAAGCTCCTCCTCCTATGCTGTCCATCATCTATCTACACTTCAGCGTATGGGACAATACACACAATCCAGGACTTTCCACTGAGGGACATGATGAAGCCCTTGAAAACAGGGCTTTTCATCTGTCTTTCTTTTCTTTTTTTACATTTGCTGGAACTGCTGGATTTGGGACAACTGCAGTTTTGCATCACAAGATTCCTATTTCACATGGCAAGACTTTTTAATTGTTTAAACAACCAAGGATAGTAATTTCAAATCAGATACACAGTAGCTTGAAGGACATCTCTGTCTCCCACAGGAAACTCTCCTCTATGGGGAGAGTGTTAGGAACACAGGGAAACAAGGAGGAGGCATCTGGGTGCTCAGATGAATGCTGATACAGTATAGGCAGATTTTTTGCAACAAAAAGTTTAAAAAAATAAAAGAAGTGGGAGGAAGACTGAGCTGGAAAATGCTGAGTATCAATTTAAGAAAATTAAGAAAAATTAAGGATGGAGAAGAGATGTTAATCTCTCACAGCTACCTATTACTGCTCGCTAGCTCGCTGTGGGGACCCAGGACAAGAGCTGTTATGTTCAAGAGTGAGATTATCCAGATCTTGTAACAATTACAATTTTCTTGGACTACAACTCCCAGAATCCCACACTCAGCATGGCTATGCTACTTGCAAGAGACCAAACATCACAATATGAAAAAGGAATGTTGCCAAAGACCGAGGTTAAATGCAACTTTCTTTTTTGCTCTTCTTGTATCATTTTAATCTATTTTTTCAACCTACCCTTAAGTTAACAGTTAGTTACTTCTGTTGTTGTTGTTTTCCTGGAAATAGCATTACATGAAAATAACTTCTGGAATAGTTTTTTGTTAAGTTTCACCTTCGCAAACGCTTTTATAGTCCACACAGCAATCTTTTTTCTCCAAGCAGTCTTCCGAGCAGGAGCAGAAGCTTCGGGCCACCCGTGTCTCCCTGCAGCGTGATTTAGAGCACGACCAACTCTGTGCTAGAAAAAGGCACATTTATTTTTAAACTATACCATGATATTATTAACCAAGCTAGGCATTGAAAAACTTTTCTTGAAACATATGTTTTCAGAAAGGAAACAGAGAAAAAACAAGAATATGTTTCCTATGCCTTGAAAGCACATGAACCTCAGATTTCTGCATTTATTTATTTTTCATGAATGTCCCCTAAGATTTTCTTATTGATATTGTTATTGATAGATTGATTTAAGAGTGAAAAGCAACTCCATCTCCTCCTCCACCCAGCATGTCTGCATGGTATATATTTTCATTTTAAGCTTAAACAATGGGTATGTGATGATAATTAATAATCATGCACCGTCAGTCAATTCTGACTTATGCCAACCCTTTCCAGGGTTTTTCAGGTAGAGAATATTCAGAAGTGGTCCATCAAGCCTTTCTTCTGGGGGCCTCATGGGACTGTGCAGCTTGCCCAGGACCACACAGGCTGGCTCTACTCTCAGGAGGCACATTGGGGAATCGAGCTCCCAAGCTCTGTGATAGATACCTGAAAATGATAATATTCATGGGAACAAGAGCTGAAATCCTGTTGCTCAGCTCTGCCTTGCAGCAGAAATGACGTCATAAGCAGTGGCAAACACCCACAGGTTAAATACTTTTTCTGGTGATTTGGGGGTACACAGAACTTCAGTGCATTGTGTACAAGTCTCATGTACCTTGAAATTGCTTTACCCAGCCACATTATGCTTTAAACAGCAGTAATTTGTCACTGCCGATGACATCAGTGCAGTTGCTCATGCAGAGCTGCACACCAGGATTTTAGAATTACATATTGATTACTCCACGTTCTGTATTGTTCTTGAAAACATCTTAAAAATTACCTTGCTAGAGGGCCAAACCCCACAAAAGTTGTAACTTCTCCAAATATCCATCATGTGCTTTTCGTCATGTGTAATATAGCATGTGTTATGCAACAATCACAAAGTATTAAAGAGGGACCATAAGCCAAGAAATGAACACACATTTTTGCCCACAGATACAGCTGCTTCCTTCATTGCTTCTTGGCCTAAATATAACACAGGAATCATTGATTAATCTTAAGCACAATTTCATCCAAACTGGGAAATCATGATTACCCGTTTTGGAATATGTCAGGCTCTTAAACCAGCTTCAAACCATGACGCATTCCAAAGCTCATAAGCATGGTTTCCCAGGTTGGATGAATTGGGAAACTGTGATTAATTGGTAAATTCTGCACTGTATTCGGGCATACCAAGAATGGAGGAGCAAACTGAGTGTAACAATGGACAAAAGGATTGTTCAGATTTGGGCTTTTAGTTCAAGATAACATCATCTGACCTAGGATGGTGAGAACCTCTAAACTTTACTGCTAAGATGTTGATTACTCACTGTGGAGAAACTAAGAACCTAAAGATGCTGGACATTATGCAGCAGCGTGCATGAAACCCCTTTGCTCAGGTCTGGTTTGCTTTTAGAGGTTCCATATGAAATTCATGGTGGTGAACTATAATTCGGTTTAATTGAAAAGGATTACTTCCTAGAAGATTCCAAACAGTATTGATTAGAAGCCATGCATGTTTTTGTAACCTGTGCAGCTGCCTGAAGTAGATTGCTCCAGCCAGCAATCAACAAACTTGGAAACCTGTTCTGACACTTGAATCCATCAAGATGTATGTAGGAAAGAAATAAGCCTCAGTCTTGTGCTCTTTTGGCTAAAATTGTTCCTTCTTCTTAGAGCAGCCTGACCCCCTTTGAGAACTGTGGGTCAGGCAGGAGTGGGTTCATTTTAGGAGTAAGATCACACTTACTTGGCAAAACACAAGTCTCCTCATAATCCCAGCAGCAGGCTTGACGTTCTGTACATCTGTCATCACAACTACAGCCACTGGTCGCTATACTGAACGTCTCATTGCATCTGTATCTGCAGCTCACTGGAAGAAGAACCGAAGACAACTGGAATTAATTCCACACTAACGTTTACACATCGTATAGAAAAGCAAACACAGAGATAAAAGGCCTGAGCAGATAAGGAGCACGTTCACCTGATTTATAACATTGTGTACGAGTGGCAAAATTTCAGCTCTCCAGATGTTGTTGAATGGCAGTTCCCATTATCCCTCACCATTGTTTATGCTGGGTGGAGTTGATACTAAAACATCCAGAGGAAACACACATGTTCCACCCCTACTACATGAGCAAAAAATTACATTACGTTCCCACTTGTCACACAAATCCATGGTTTCATTTTCAGCTGAAACTCAGTTGTATAACTACTAAGCAAGCTCAGATATTTTCAGGATGGCAGAAGTGGCTCCTGATTGATTGACTGATAGATGGATGGATACATTTATTTTTACAAAGCTGGGAATTTCCCTAACACAGGCATACATATTCTCTTTTTGCTTTTATTAAAATTGTTATTTTTAATAACTTGGGAGAGGCCCAGCTTTGGTTCCTATGCAGTTGGCCCTTGCTAAATTTGAGGTTTGAGGGAAGGATCTGATTTTAATCCCAAGATGTACTTTTGGAGATATTTCACTACCTCAAGACCAAGAACTGAGTAACCTTTATTTTTATGGCACAGCAATTTGCCCATGAAATGAGTAATAAATATGGAATGTCCCTGGACACAGTGTTTTTTGAATATGAAAGAACCGGCATTTCACGGATTATTTCACTTCATTTCACTTGCACGTTTGCTTTGGCATGATATGTTATGAACACAACATTCTGTGATTATTTGTTATAGGCTTTCTTGTGTTATTATTAATTTGTTCTGAGAGGTTCATCATAAAGAAGAAGAAGGCTTTTTATGTGCTTTATTTGCTTGTTGTGGGCAGCTTGCACTTTCTGAATAGAGTCAGTGTGTTCTGAATGAGATTTAACATTGCAAATCATTCTAAACTATGCGCCTCCACTACCCCATGTTGTGATTGCAATATATAGTTTTAAGAGAAAAGACATTTTACAGAAATTCTTGTTTGTGGGTGTAGCGGAATCCAAAAAGGTGATGTCATTCCTGTCTGTCCATCACAGCAAAAAGGGGGAGGAGCCAAGGATAGAGCAGAAGGGGTGGAGCTAAAGTGACAGTTAGGGAGTTGAAGGGACAGTTAGGGACAGTTGGAGTTAGGGAGAGGTAGAAAGAGTCAGGGACCAGAAGATGTAGAGAGAGTGCTAGGGTTTAGGAATATATAATTGAAAAATTAAAACACACGTTGAACAAGCAGGAATGAATGCACAAATGCTACTTGAAAGATATTGATTAAAAGCATACAATCGTTCTGAATATAAGTGATCGAATACATGATCTAATATACATGAACACCTGAACCAACATATTTGATTTTCCTTATAATTTGTTCAATAATAAAAGAATAACTTAATCATAACCCCTGCTTCCAAAGTCATATGACCCTTTGGGGTGGCAGCTCCTGTGTGGGACTTGAAGTGGTATCAGGAGAATACCTGGTGGCAGCGAATAAAGGGCGTGTTTACCTGTGTAGAGCTCAAGGAAATAAGGACCACAAAGGGTTGGTCGCCACAGTGGGGTATATAGGTTTCTTGTGCTTATCTTGCTTATGAGGAGGCTGAGGATACATGTAAAACATCCTCTAAACAATCATCTCTGTGGTAGCTGGGAGCTGCCCAGCTTCCCACACCTATTGATAGATCGATCACTTACCCTGCCTTTCCACCAACAAAAGGACTTAAGTTGGCCTACAACACATTTTGAAAGGACAAATATTAAAACTACTAAACATACAATAAATTATAATATTAAAAATATATTAAACAGATTACAGATTAAAGCAACTGAACAAAAAACTTTTTAAACTATTTAAAAGTAAATTTTGAAACTTGACTTCTTCATTACAACTTCATCCAAAGTAGCCAGCTACTTATTAGAAGCCTAAAGAAAAAGATCTTTCTCTGCTAGAGAGAGGACAATAAGAAGAGGACCAGCCTGATCTCCCATGGGAAGTAATTCCACAGTCTAGGAGCAGCCACAGAGATGGGCATCTCTTGCATCCTCACCAAGCACATCTGTGGGGCAGGGGGAGTCAGGAGAAGGCCTCCTCCAAAGATCTTAAGAAAAGATGGGAGACTGATGTGAGGAAATCACCCAGGCCAAAGTTGCTTAGGGTTTCATGGACCAAAATCAGTACTTTGAATTGTGCAATTGACTGATGGGAAAGAGTTAAAACAAAGGATTTCAGTTCTCCCTCTAAGACGCTCTACACATAAAGCACATTAAAGTGCTCCACAGGGTATAACTAAGGCATATATGACTGTGACCTGATCAAACCTATTGAGGAAACAATGCAGCTGGAACACTAATCTTAATTTCTGTGCTCCTGGTCACTGCCACGACTTTGGCATGCAGACTCCGGGATGAATCCAGGACCACTAGCTTGAGAAAGAGAGATCCCTCTTACAATACTTGGAAAAAACTTCATATTTCACAGAGGCTGTTGCAAACATACCTTGCTGCTGTACTGTTTTCCTCAGTCCAAGTCCTAAGCCAAGACCAAAAGTAACGATCACCAAAGAAACAAGAAGAACCTGTTGCAGCAAGAAGAAAAACAACAACAAAAATACCACAGAAATTAAACTGCATGTTTCACACATATTGTGAGCAACTCTACAGCTCATAGGCATCCTTCAGTCTCGAGAGACTATGGTAACATGCTCTGAATCAAGGAGTGTCCTCTCCAGAGCATGAAGCCTGGGTAAAGTAATATGGAGGATAGGCTGTTACCCAAGCAGCAGATCCCCCCTCTCCACATTGCTGAAATGGTCCAAAGGAAAGGCAAGAGCCAATACAACTGGTTCCAGCAACGTCACAGGAGTTGGCAGAATGACACAAACTGCCTTCGGGACTCCAACTCCACAGCTAAGAATGGAAGTAATATATCCTCCATTGCTATGAATGGAAGTGATACATTCTCTAAAATGAGGAAATCCTACAATAGTACTGGAAACAAGAGGTGGAAATAATTATAAATAATTATTTTAAATTAAATATAAATGCAATACATCTCACCATAGTGCAAAAGACTGATCAGTATGTCTATGCACCTGTTGAATCGTTGCTGTCCAGGTGTTCCCTGTGCAGCTTCAGTGTTCATACTGCCCCTACTCAAGGCTGTTAATCTTTAAATCAGACTTGCACTAGGCAGGTCTTCAAACAGAGGACATTTCAAAAGAGAAGACTGTTCTTTGAAAGTCATCCAAATAGAAGACTCTCCTCATTAAAGAAGAGGAGGAGGCCATCCCCAATATTACACCCAGGGAGATGTGCCTGATGGGATTCTCAATCTGCTCAGTTCACCAAAATTCATATTTACAACACACTCATTCATATTTTAAACTGTTTTGTTTTGTTTCCACAAATAGTTGTACATTTACAGTGTGAGCCTATGCCTGTCTGAAGGGAATGACAGAGAAACCACCCTTCTTCTATTTTCATCTTCTCTAACATTTTAATTTGCAAAGTATTTTTAATTGATACAACACTATTCTAGATAAATTAGAGACATTGGCAGTATTCCGTGTACCAAAGCAAGTAGATGCACTGCTGTTTCGCTATGTCAGTTACACAAAAATAATCTAGCGGGACTGAAATCCCAGATATGTATCTCCACATAGAGATCAGGGATAACATCATCAGCAAGGGCAAATCACAGTTGAACAAAGGGACATCCCACTGATTAAAGACAGTTTCAGAGTACAATGCAATGTAACAAAGTCCCAAGCACCCGAAAGATACCAAAGGGAACTTTTCAACAGAGGCAATTTGCTGATGATGATGATATCACTTCCATTAGACATGCAGAGCAGACATGCAACAGATGTTCAATGACAGAGTTGAAGGGAACTTATTCCTAGATAACTGAATGCAGGATTGCATCTTTCATCTGATAAATTCAGTTTTTTCAGAACAATGCCTTTGTTGTTGTTTAGTTGCTAAGTCGTGTCCGACTCTTCGTGACTCCATGGACCAGAGCACGCCAGGCCCTCCTGACTTCCACTGCTTCCTGGGCTTTGGTCAAATTCATGTTGGTAGCTTCGATGACACTGTCCAACCATCTTGTCATCTGTCATCGCCTTCTCCTCTTGCCTTCACACTTTCCCAACATCAGGGTCTTTTCCAGGGAGTCTTCTCTTCTCATGAGATGGCCAAAATATTGGAGCCTCAGCTTCAGGATCTTTCCTTCCAGTGAGCACTCAGGTTTGGTTTCCTTTAGAATGGATAGGTTTCTCCTGCTTGCAGTCTCAAGAGTCTCCTCCAGCACCACAATTCAAAAGCGTCTATTCTTTGGTGGTCAGCCTTCTTTAAGTTATATATGGATTTGAACACGGGTCTCACCATTATTGAAGGGAGAAAAGTACTGTTAAATAGATTATATTGACCATCAAATACTATTGACCTTTTAAAAAATTTGTGCCAAAGCCACATTTGTCATCACAGCTTGGGATTTCTATGTTTGGTTTGATTTGGTTACATGAAGATTGCAGGATTTCTTTCAATCTTCTTCTCAGAACAAGCAACATTTTGCAAACAGAATTAATGAAAAATTATCTGGCTTATATCCACCTTGCTCATTAACTTGCATGGAACTGGTTGTCGTGCCACTCTCAAGGCACCCTTTTGATTCCTGACTCTGGGCAGAGCACCACTGACCAATGAAGCTAAAGGCAGACCGAGGCAGCTCACGACCAGAGCTCACGAACAGGATAGCAAACAGGGAGCTTGGATATATGTACAACTACATTTAAACTAACAAAACAAGAGGTACAGGTAACCTAAACAAACAGTTGAAAGTCAAAAATCTAGAAGGGATTATGGAGGGTGGAGACCATTCGGTTGTGGTTACCTGCAAAGTTTGTGCTATGTTTGTCTTTGTTCCTGAGTATAAAGTTTTGTATACATTTAACAAGTGTAAACTTGTGGCACTGTTAGAAGAGAAAGTCAGAGACCTGGAGCAGTGAGTAGCCACACTCAGGGCTATAAGGGAAGAGGATGCCTACATTGATAGAACTCTTGAATTGAATTGAATTTATTGTCATTGTACTTCCCTACAAGGAAATTTAATGCCATCTCCAGTACACACAATAACAAAGCACACAAGAACATAGCATCTATAACATGAAAACATAGCACATTACACATAAAACACATCCCTCTCATTCACATCCACATCTTTGTTTTAATTACTGTATCCTACACCGCCTACCAGATGGTATCAGTTGAAAAAGGGAATGGTCCGGGTGTGATGGATCTTTGAGAATATTTTGGGCTTTCTTAAGACAGCGGGAATTATAGAGGTCTTCCAAAGAGGGAAGAGGGCAGCCAATGATCCTCTGGGGCATTGTAATAATCCTCTGGAGCATTTTCCAATCTGCCAATGTACAGTTAGCACACCATATACCAGAGCAATGGATTAAAATACTCTCTATGATACAGCAGTAGAAGGAGTTTTCCATTCAGTTGTTGTCTCCTGAGAAGTCTCAGGTAATATAGTCTCTGCTGAGCCCTCTTAACCACTGCTGCAATATGAGCACCTCAGGACAGGTCCTCCTTGATGATAACATCTAGAAACTTAAAACTGATTACCCATTCCACTTGTTCTCCACTTATAACCAAGGGCTGAATATCAGATTTATTTCTTCTATAAGCTCCTATAAGCTCCTTTCTTCTATAAGCTAATTCTGCTATTCTTCCAAGAAATTCCTGGCTTGTGTAGCTGATAATTTTCTCCTAGAAAAAGTGGAGAAAGAAACTAGAGGATTTGCTATCCTTGACTTGATTTTCACCAAGAAAGATTGGGGGAAGTGGCATTAAAGAAAATTCTAGGTGAGAGTGACCATATCCTTCTAGAATTCTTGATATCAAAGGAAACAAAAGCAGAGTGTAGCTACACACTTGTGCTGGATTTTTTTAAAAGCCAATTTTAATAATCTCAGAACAAGGATATGTAAGGTCCCATGGCAGGAGATCATAACAAGAAAAGGAGTCCAAGAAGGGTGGGAGCTTAGAAAGTCTAAACTTAGAAAGACACAACTACAAACAATTCCAACAAGAAAAAAAGGGGGAGGCAGCAAAAAAGGACAGTGTGGCTTCACAGAAGACTCAGGGAGGACCTAAAAATCAAAAAAGACATGTACAAGAAGTGGAAAGAAGGCCAGGCCACCAAGAATGAGCACAGACATGTAGCAAGGAAATGCAGGGATGGCATTAGGAGGGCAAAGGCTGAGAATGAGCTGAGGTTAGCTAGAGACACTAAAAGCAATTTTAAAAAAGCATTCTTCAGGTATGTGAGTAGCAAAAGACTAACAAAAGACATAGTGGCACAGCTCCGCAATGGAGAAGGAAAATTTATTATAACAGAGGACAAAGAAAAGGGTTAGTATTAACCCTAAGGCAGACTATGAACTTCCAGACAAATTGGAAGTGCGGGATACAGGACTGCAGCTGGAAATTGATAAACAAATATTCAAGGAATACTTGTACATTTACAGTATGAGCCTATGCCTGCCTGAAAGGGATGACAGAGAAACCACCCCTCTTCTATTCTCATCTACTCTAGCATTTTAATTTGTAAAATATTTTAATTGATACAACACTATTCTAGATAAATTAGATACATCGACAGTATCACCCCCACTGGACATGCAGAGTGGCACACAGATGTTCAATGAAAGAGTTTAAGGGAACTTATTCCTTGATAACTGAAGGCAGGACTGCATCTTTCATATAGTAAATTCAAATTCCTTCTACATTTCTTTCTTGAATAGCACGAATCTGAACAGGATGGTTTTGGTTTTGCATGGATTTTTTCAATAAATAAATACATATTCAATAAATGCTACCTTCCTCCCATAAAGGGATTCAAGGTGGCTAACAAAAATTTATGTATATACTGCATATATGCATTCGGTTAATTCGTTCATTTCCTTTTATATACTGCCCCATTAGTGTTGCCACTCTCCGGGCGATTATTAAAATATAAGTAGAATTAAAAGGGCAGTAAAGCTATAATGCAAAACAGACAATTAAGCACACAATAATATAACAAACTGATTATAGAAAATTAATGCAAGAAGAAACTTTAAAAGCACAATTAAAAATCTTAACCACTGTTTTACATTGAACAAGGTGTATCAATTATTACTGACAAACAAGAACAAGCAGAGAATGCTATATGTAAATTCAAAGTATTTCTCTAGATAATGTTCTCAGCGTAGACTTCAACCAATGTAATAGTTAGTACGTAACAGTTACTATTTGCTATTAACTTGCTACAAAGGGTCAAAAGATTATTATAGACATGCATTCCCTCTAATTCTTTCTCTTATTCTTTCCAAGGGTACTATTCAAGTGTTCTGTTATATGAATTGCGGTGTTTAAGTTGACTATCGTTCTTTTTATGTATTCAACAATATGAGTAACAAATATTAAACTTAACTTGTGCATGACAAAACACCATATACAGGAGGGCAGTGTTTTGTCACGGTGAGAACCGGTTGGATTTCGGGAAAGCTACTGAAACTGACTGGAA